GGGGGGGGGGGGCGGTCGCACTTCCGCGTCGAGTTGAGCGAGATGGACACAGTCAGGTCCGTGAGCATGAGCCGCTTCACGGAGATGCCCATGCGGGTGCAGCCAGCCTCACCAGCGCCGGTGCCGTCGACGAGGACGTGGCCCTGATCGATCATGTTGATGATCGTGCAGAGCTTGCCCTCGTTCGGACCATACGTGATCAGGCACACCCGGCCGACCTCCACAAAGCGCTTGAAAGTCATCGCGGCGTCTGCGGGGAGCGGGTGTACGGCAGTTGGGAACTCGCACGCGGGGGGCGACAGGGGCGGATCGGTCGGGCGCATCGGCGACATTCGGTCGCTGGCGGCGGCGCCCTGCTCGACGAGCGCAGGCTCGGCGCCCGGGGAGGGGAGCCGGAGGGGCCGGCCGCCGGACCGGGGCGCGCGTGGTGCGCATCTCGGCGGAGGCCCCGCAAGAGGCCCGCGCCGGGCAGCGGTGCGAGAGCAGCACCTGAGAGAGACACGAGGCGCGAGGGTATTTCTTTTTCCTTTCTCGCCACTCCAACAAACAACATACTAAACCAGAAGAAGAGAGAGGAAAGAAATCAGTAAGCAAGAACGGATCGATCGCAAAGCCGCATAATGGCGGACTCAGCGTCCCCGTCCGGCGACGGCCCGAACTCCCGCTTGGCCTTTCCAAGGGGTTCCTTTCCGTCCGTGTTTCCTGCTAGTTTCCCTATTCTAGTTTTAGGCTGACAAAAATCTCTCTCTCTGAGGCTGTTTTGGGGCCAAAATGTGCCGCTTCCTCAATTTTGCCCCAGAACAGCTCTCAGAGAGAAAACAAAAACACAAAGGGAGGATATTCGTGGTGGTAGGGTGTGAGTCACACACACACACACTGGTAGGTAGGTAGGTAGAAAGGTGAAGAACAGCCAGGCTCGGACTGGACACCAACGCGGTATGGGTGGACGCTAGACCAGGTAGGCAAACAACAAGGACGGATGATCGATCGCAAAGCCGCATAGAAATGGCAGACTCTGCGCAGAGCTTCATCTTTATTGGCCTCGCCACGCTCAACATCGTCATATCCCTCGACGGCGGCGGCGTGCCTGCGGCGCTCACAAATATCCAGCTCAGGTTCGGGCTGCAGGCGTGGCAGCTCGGGCTGCTCGGCTCGCTGGTTTACGTCGGGCAGGCGACAGGATGCCTGCTCGGCGGCCCGCTCCTCAAGCGCTTTTCTCCCACGCGCGTGTGCCGCGTGATGGTCTGCCTCAACACGGCGATGACGGCGATGTTTGCGAGCAGTCAGAATTCTGCCTGGCTGCTGAGCACGCGCTTCTTCATCGGGCTGCTGCAGGCTCCCACGTCGGTGTATTTCCCCGTCTGGGTCGACGAGTACGCCCCGCCGGAGCGGCGCACCCGCTGGATGGCCCTCATCCAGGGAGGGACGCCGCTCGGCATCATGCTCGGCTACGCCATCTCGGGCGTCATGACCCTCGACAAGGAGCTCGGGGACGGGTGCCATGCCGGGTACATCGAGCACGCAGGCAGCTGCCTCAGCACTGAGGGCTGGCGAGTCCCCTTCTACGTCCAGTCGGCTGTGCTCGTCTGCTTCACCATCGCCGGCTTCTTCCTCCCCCAAAAGTCCTTTGACCTTCCCGACACGGCGAGCGACCCTCGCCGCCGCTGCCCTCGCCTTCTCTCTCCGCCGCCGTCACGACACTTCGTCCCTGATCGCTGCTACCCTCACGACACTGCCTCTCTCGCCGCCACTGCTCTCGCCGCCGCAGCCCTCACCGCCGCAGCCCTCACGATGCCGCTTCCCTCAACCGCTTCCCTCCTCCCAGGTTGACGCCGGGCTGCGGCAGGCGCAACGCCAGTCGCGCTTCTCGCAGCAGCCACCGCCTTCGTTGCGGGAGGACGCCTCGCACGCCGCAGAGGCGTACGACGAGACGCCGCCGATGATCAAGCCGCCGCAGGTCGCGCGCAAGCCCACCAACCTCGACATCGCGCTCGAGAAGATCTCGTCGCGCATCACGAGCGTGCCTCACGGCGCGGCACACGGCCGACACGCGGCGCCGAGAGGGAGACGGCTCACGCCCGCCCGTCTCGCGCCCCAGGCACGCACAACGAGCAGCACAGCGTGCTCGGCCGCGAGCGGCTCGACTCGGGCATGCTCGTCGTCGAGGCGGCGCGCGAGGTCTTCTCCCTCAGCCGGCGGGCGAGCGCGCCGGTGATTGCCGCCACGGGCTCGATTGCCGCCACGTCGCCCGTGGAGACGCC